CTTAACTCACCTGTCGGGCCTCCCCCATCTGGGTGGTTCCTAAGCAGATACATCTTTTGCCTTTTGAGAAAATCAACAGGCAGCAGAGAAACCAACTCCTGTGGCAAAGGGGGGGGGGATGGAAGGGGCCATGTCCTCAAGATGCTGCCGGTGGTTCAGGGCGCTGCTGATCCCGACCCAGAACCTGCTCTCCTCTTGGAAACTCAGCAGGGAGTAACCCGGACCCACAACAGGCCGTCTGCCAACTGTGCATGTTTCTGCGGGTCCTGCTCCAGCTGAGAGCTTCTCAGGGCCCCTCGGACCCCAACCGGGCCCCACAACCACTTACGGAGAAAGGAGAGACCCCAGAGCACTGGACGGGAAATCAGAGGAAGCCGGGGTGGCAGCTTCCCACCCAGAGGGCAGAGGGACTGGGACATGCACCCCAGCCTGGAGAATAATGGATGGAAGAGATTCCAAAATAGGTCTGAGTAAGAAAGACCCCAAATCCCCTGAGAAGTGAGAACTGTCCGTGTTGGTTGGAAGGAGTGGATGCCCTGAAGTGAAGCTGGGGGGAGGCGGTGTCCTCCAAACCCTCCCTCCCTGGTGACTGTGGCACCCCAAGACCCTGCTCAGCTGTGCAGGACCTGGGTGGTCTCTGCTCTTCCAGTCACTTCCACTGGAGTGAACCTAGAGCGCCAGGGGAGGTGACCCCTCTTTGTCTGCAGGAGACAAGTGAGCGGGCTCAGCCTGAGGACGGGGTGTATCCATGGGGCCGCCAGGCGGTGGATATCTGGAGAGCGTTTCTGCGCCCAGGCCCTCTGGTGACACCCTGGGGGCTCACCCTGTCCATCCTCAGGTCTGCAAGCGCAGAGATGTCCCCCACTAAAGGGGAGCACGCCTGAGGGCTCCGCGCCACACAGGCCCTTGGATGGGCCAAAACACCACATTCAAGGCCGGCCCCACCCAGCCGGGCTCGGGGTCCCGTCTCAGGGAAGGCGCTAGACACCGGCCCAAAGGCCCCCCAGGCCCAAAGCCCGGTGCGTGGCTGCCACCCTCTACCCCCACATCTGGTCTCTGTCAGCCCCGTGGCGTTCTTCTCTCCAGACACCTCCCGGCCGGACGCCCCTCACACCTGCTCTGCCTCCCTGCCATACCTGGGCCTGCGCCTCTCCCGCCGCCCCATCCTCCTCAGCGCAGCAGCCAGCACTGAGTCAGATTCCGCTCCCCTCTGCAACAGCCCCTGTCTCTGAGCACCCCCCAACCTGACGGTCAGCTGAGCCCTCCCCACCGCCCAGTCTTCCCCGCTACCCTCCACCTCCTTCCTGCCACTCCAGCCACAAGACCCCGGACACACACCCACCAGGCACGCGGGCCTGGGGCCTGCGCACTGCTCATCCCTCTGCCTCGGTGCTTTTCCCGGGCACCCACAGAGTATCCCCATCCCCCCTCGGACCTCTACTCCACCCGGTCTGACAGCTGCCCCCCCAAGCCGCCCCTCTCCCTGCTCACTAGTTTTCCTTTGAAGATTTCTCACTAATATATTTTATACTTGTCTTGCTTATTATGGAATTTCTCCAAACCAGAATATAAGGTAAGGGCAAGGATTTGTCTGTTTAAATCGCTGCTGAGTCCCTAACAGCTAGAATAATGCCCGGTGCCTGGTAGGCACTCAGCAGTCACCCGCTAGGTGGATGAGTGCATGAATAGACAGGTGGGTGGATGGGTGGGTGGATACATGGGTGGAAACCAAACTGTTGATGTCACAGTCATCAAAACTCAGCTGCCTGGTTACTTTGTAGGGTCTGCTGCTGTAGGGGTGACGCAGGTGGCTCAGACTTCACAAGGCCTGAAATAGATGCTACAAAAAAGGACCAGATGAGTCCACAAGCCTCCAGACACCCCAAGGGGAAATTTTGCACATTTGGGTTTTAAAGTATAAACCTTCCGAGGAATAAAAGTAAGAGGCACAGGACCACGGCCACCATCTGATCAGGAATATGCCTCAGCCATGAGAAATATTTCATGGCAGAGGTTGACATTAAAGACTGGGTCCCACTAGGGTCACCATATACAGGAAGAAAAGGGTGAACACCTTGGTGACCCCGAGAGAAGATCCACAGCAGGCAGCTGCCTCCTGGCCTGGGTGGAGCACCGGAAGGAAGAGGCTGTATCAGACCCAGGTGAAGGAGAAGTGAGGGCAGAGGGCAGGCTCCCGAGCAGAAGCACAGGTGAGGGGAGCAGGACTTGTGCTGAGGCCCGAACCCCCAACAGAAGCCGGGAAGGGGCGTTCGTGAGCCCAAGCCTCCCACACCAGGCTGAGGTCTCGATGTCTCTGCTCAGGTGTCACCGTGAAACACCACAGCCACCAAGCACGACACCAGGTGTGTGCAAGAGGCACAAGAGGCCTTCTTGCCTGGTAAACCATCTGTCTCCCCAAGGCAACACTCGAGGGGCCAGAAAAAGGGCTGTATCCCCTGCATGCAGATTCAAGAATTCGAAAGCGGGCCCGGCTGTGCCTTCTGAGGGAGTTCAGGCCACATTTACAGGAGCCCCAGTCTGCTCAGAAGCCCAATTTACCCCAAAAGCCTGGTCATGCATCACCTGCCCAGAAATAGTTCCCCACATTTAATCCAAAGGACTCAGATGGCAAATGGCAGAGAAACCTGGTGTTTCCTCCAAACACACATCTGGGTGCCCATTGTGTTGACAGTTTGTGTATCCAAATAATCTTATGCAAATAACCACATGGAAATAAGGTGGGATCTCTTTTTCCTGTGACTGGGATGTATTTTACTTCACAATTTCCCTGAACTTAACAGGATCTAAGGAAGGAAAAGAGTTTGAGCTGGGATTGTACGGGGATGCTCGGGAGGTGCTGGGGGACCGGGTTCTCTTCCTCACAGAGAATTGAGGGCTTGCTCAGGAGATTCGGGTCACCCTCCTGTCCCAGGCCTGGACCTTCATGCCCTTCGAGGGGTGCTGAGCCAGCCCCGCAGGAGGTGCCGCAGGACGGGGCTGCAGCTGAGCCAGCAACTGAAGCCCTGCCCATCCTGGAACCCATCCCACCCCCCCACACACACACCCATAGAACCACATGCAATCCCTATTTGGGATTTTTTTCCCTATTTAGATGCAGGCATGCCTCACTTTGTTGCACCCCAGGGAGTGTGTTTTTGACACAAGTGAGGTTTGCAGCACCCCGGGATGAGCAACCTGACGGGAGCAGTGTTCCAGCAAACAGCAGGGGCTCCCCTTGTGTCTGTCTCATGAAGGTCTGTGCAGAGTTTTGATAAGCCACAGCCTCATTAAATGTGACTCTTATATGCACTGGGAAGACAAAAACTTCACAGGATGCTCTTGGCAGCAATATCCATTTACTTGGGGGTCTGTGCCCCACTTAGCAGGGGCTCTCCTGTCCCTCCCGTCTGTTCTCTGTGGTAATCGTCATCTACCAGCCCAGCACAACTCCCCGGAGCACAGAAGGACAGAGCCGGGTGTGTGCAGGGGTGGAGATTCCAACCCACCTCCCTTCTGCCCCAGGCTCTGTGGTTCTCTGCCCTGTCCAGAAGTGCCAAAGCCACACCCTCCTCCCCCACCTCCTGCCAGAACCAGCTGATGCTGAGGGGACAAACCTGCTTACTGTGGCCAGATGCCCCAACACACACTGGACCCTCCCCAAACCAGGTAGGCAACAGGCAGCAGTCAGACAGTCAGATGGGGAGCCGGGTTCCACCCAGCCTGCGGGGCCCCTCACTCACCACCTGACCGGACCGCAGTGAGTTCTGGGGGGCAGAGCGGAGGGCAGGGGCCTGGGTGCTGTTCCAGAAAGGACTTAAGTCTTCACAGAAACTGCTGTCCTTCAGCTAAGCTTTCCTGATTTGGGATTTGGGCTTCATTTGTTACATTAAAAAGGCCATCAGTACACAGCCAAAGGGCAACCCCAAGGAAACCCGCAGCCATGCTTGACATCACGCTAACCTATTTCCAGACTCCACTAAAGGGCAGCTCCGGAGGAAGGGATGCCTGGGATGCCTGGGCCGCACACCCTCGCACCTGGGGCCTCCCAGCTCGCTGGCTGTGCGAGCCTTTCGGAAGAGTGTGTCGGCCAGAGGATGCGTCAGGAGCAGCCAGCTGGTTGCGCTACTGCACACACACTGCGGGGCAGGGGCTGTGGCTGTCAGGGGGGAAGAGGCCACCTCAGCCCCTGAGGCAGACTGGTAGCCTAGGAGACCCTCCAGCAAACCCCCCCCCCAAAGGTGCCCCCAGGGCTCCAAGTTCCTTAGAGAAGTGCAGAAAGAGAGGCTTCTGGGGGAAGGGTCCCCACTCTCAGAGCCGCAGGTGGTCACCTGCTGGGGAGAGGGGGCAGCTCAGGAGCCCCACTTCCCAAGCCTTCTGTCTCCGCCTCGGTCTGCCAGCCTCCTCCTCCTGCCTCTTGCAGGCTCAGAAGGAAACTCGAGACCCCCTAGGCAGGACCCGCCACGAAGCCAAGGAGGCCGCTGCAGCTCATCAAGGCCGAAGCGCACCCACCCTGGGGTGGGAACCCGGCTGCACTGCGAGGCCCCCGCCTGCAGAGCAACGCCAGGCCCCGCGCAGCCCCGAGCGCTCAGGCTGCGGTCTCGGCGTGGCCAGGAGGCGCTGCCCGGTCCAGGGGAGGACCCCAGTGCGCACCCCAGGGGGACCCTGTTGCTCACCCTTCCCTAGGGGCTCCCCAACCCCTCCAGCGGGCGGGGCGGGGCCGGGCGGGGGTCCCGGCTCTCCCGAGGCTGGTGAGGGAGTGAGGGAGGCGGCCCGGCCGGTCGCTGACGCGCCCTGTGCCATCGGCCTCCGTCCAGGGGCGGCCCCTCGTCCTCGCCCACGGCGCCCGGGGCGCCCCTCCTCTGCGGGCGGCCGGTCCCAGCGTCCTCGCCCCGCCATCGCGGTCGGAGTAACTTCCCCTTCCCGGCGCTGCGCTGCAAAACAACTCGCGACCGTGTCCCCCCCGGGTCCCCCCCAGCCCCCCACGCCGAGTCCCCCCAAACCTTGCCGCAGCGGCACGCGCGCCAGCTCGGGCCGGTCCTCGGGGAAGGCGTCGCGGAGGCGCCGCCACAGGCGGCCGAGGTCGGCGAGGCTGCGGTGCAGGTAGAGCACGCTGCGGTCCGACCACTCGGTGCGGATCTCGAAGAACTCCTCCTCGTCGCCGCGCCGGCTGACCACCAGCCGCCGGACGCCGTTCACCCAGCAGCCGCGCACGAACATGTTCACGAGCGACGTGCCCTCAAACACCGCCGAGGCCATGCCGGGGGCCGCGCATGCCCCCGCCGCGCAGGGGCCCGGCCGGGGCCCCCGGGGGTGGCGCGCGTCCCTCCGCGGGCCGTCCCGGGCCGGGGCCCGCCTGCGACTGGGATCCGCCCGGGACCCGCCGAGAGTCAGGGTCTATCCGAAGTCGGGGCGCTCCAGGGTCTCACTGGGGTCCCCCCAGCGCCGGGGCGGTCCGAGGTCTGTCCCGGGCCGGGTCTGTCCGGAGCCGGGCTCTGTCCGCGGCTGAGATCCGCCCGGGACCCGCCGAGAGTCAGGGTCTATCCGAAGTCGGGGCGCTCCAGGGCCCCGCGGGGTCCACCCAGGTCCACCCGGACCCGAGGTCTGTCCCGGTCGCGGCCTGTCCCGGGCTGAGACCGGCGCGGGTTCGGGACGGGGCTGTCCCCGGCGGAGTCCGGCCGAGGCGGGCCGGGAGGCGGAGTCGCCAGGGGCTGTCTGGGCGCTCCCGGCCTCGGCGCGCACTCCCGGCGGCGCGCAGGCGACTTGCTGGGGCCCCGCGGAGCCGCGGCTTTATAAGGCGCTTCCCGTGCGGGCGACGTCGAGGCCTCGGCCGCGTCCGCCTCCCCCCGCCTCCGGGAGGGGACGCGCCCGGCTCGCGCGCTAGGGGTGGCCGGGCCGAGCGCCCCCGCCCCTACCCCGGGCCCGCGCAGCCCGGCCGCGGAGCACCCCAGACCCCCGAGCTGGGCTGAAACCCGAGCGCCCCGCCCCGCCTCCGCGCCCCCGGCCCCCGCCCGGCCCGCCCCCGCCGCTCCCTCCCCGCCGGCCCGGGAGTTGCGAGCCCGCGGCGGGACGCGGGACAGGGAGGGCGCGCGGGGCGGGACTGCGCCCCCGGGCTTCTCGGAGGAGTTTTTTCTCTTTCCGTTTCTCGATCCCGGGAACTCTCCGGCCGGGGGCTGCGCGCCCCACCCGCCCGCCACGGGGCTGGGGCAGGGCCGGGGGCTGGCGGGGCGAGGCTGCGGTGGCGAGGGCCGGGCGCGCCGGGGCCGGGGGCCTGGAGCCCATCTCTGCGCCACCGCCCACCCACCCTGGGCTGGGCCGGGGGCCGGGAGCCCGGGGCCGGTGCTGGCCAGCCCGGCGTCCCCGCCCCGCGTCCTCCCGCGCATTCCAGTCGTGCCTCGGCAGGGCCAGGGCCAGGAGGCCGGCGCAGACCAACTGCGACGTGGCGGGACACACGGACAACGGGGCAGGCCCGTGCCAGGGAAGGGGCGTCTCCCCGAGGACTTGGGCTCACCAGCCAAGGGGGCGCCCCTCACAATGCCAGGGGACCCCCTCTCCTTGCTAAAAAGTGGGACAAATTGGTGGTGGAAATGAGGGTCTCCTGGGAAAGAGCGTCCCCGCGTGAGCTGGTGGTTTGTGAGACGCAGGGGTTTCGGGGTCAAGCTGGGGAAACCGCCCACTTGGAAAGCTGGAATTCAGGGCAGCGTGGATTCACCGCCTCCTGGTCCTCAGGCTGTTCCTAATTGGAAGATAATTTCAAGCGATAGTTTAAGAATTGGAAGTCGGTTCCAGGAGTGTTCCCAGTGACCTCACATCGCCCTAGGCAGGGGCGGGATAGCCAAAGTCTGGCCCTTCTGCGCTTGGTTCTGGCAAGTCTCCAGTGGCCAGCTGGAGCGTGGGCACGTTTAGGGGCTGAGGGCAACTGGCCAGTCCTGACTAGATCCAAACGGTCTGGGTCAACCCCCACCCCCACCCCACCACCCGGCTTTACATGTCCTATCCTCAAAATTCATCAAGGTTTATCTACCTCTCTTTGGCATCCCCCATTTACCTGTGAACTTGGGGGAGGTGCTGTTCAGCCTCTGGCAAAACACTGCCTCTCACCCCCAACTGTGGCTTCCACAAGTGTTGAGTGAGTTGGATGATGGATAAACCAACCAATTTCTGGGACTTTACAGGCCAGATTCCCTGGTATTTCATGCATGGAGTTTTCTGGACACCTTTTGCTGTGCTAAATCCTTCCAAAGAACAATCAGGTCTTCATCCCCCTGTCGCCTAAGGTCTAAGTCTGCAAAGTTGTCCCTCCCTGTGTGCCAAGCATCCCTGGTCACTAGGAGACTATTTTCATGTCAGGGATGTTGGTTGCTTTATTAAAGAGATCTGAAACAAAGGAAGCTAGATGGTCATGTAAAAACAAATTGCCAAAAGTCACTAATAATGACAAAGATTCATATCAAAACACAAAGAACTTCCATTCCTAAATCCATTGCATTGATACCGAGTTCAAAAACCTGTTAAGGGAAATTACCCAAAATCTGCAAATAAGGCCAAGAAGTCATCCTCTCAATGTTTGTCCTTTTATTTTTTTCTTTTAAGATTTATTTATTTATGCATACAGGAGCTGGGGTACAGGCCAGAGATGTGGAGGTTGAGGGGGGCGGTAAGAGGATTCACCAGAGACAGAGTAGGGAACAGAACAGGCAGACTAAGTGCAATACACTGCTGAGGGGAGCAGCGGGTGAGACAGGAGAGGTCTGTTACGCCATGTGGGTTGCTCCCTGGCCGACCGGGGATTGAACTTGTGCTGCAGAGACTTCGGATTGCTTCATAGTGCAGCGCTTAACCCCTTGCACCACCAGGGAGGCCCTGTTTGTCCTTTTAATATTGAAACATCAGGGGCCTCCCTGGTGGCACAAGAGGTTAAGATGCAGCACTATGAAGCAATCTGTAGTCACTGCAACATGAGTTCAATCCCCGGCCAGGGAGGTGGCCCACAGGGCACAGCAGACCTCTCCTGCCTCTCCTGCTGCTTCCCTCAGAAGTGTATTTCAGTCAGTCTGCCTGTTCTGCTCCCCTGTTCTGTTTCTGGTGAATCCTGTTACCATCCCCCCACCCCACACCTCTGGCCTGTACCCTAGTTCGTGTATAAAAAATTTAAAAAAAAAATTGAAACATCATTTAAGAGCCCAAGGACTATGTAATTTTCTAGAATATTCCACTCTTTGATGTTACTATTTACAACTAATGAAAGGCTAAGACTCAGTAAGGTTATAAATTAACTTATAGGTTTGTGCCTAGTAGGGATGCAAATTATTTTTGTCCCAAAGAAAAGATAACCTCCAAGGTTATAATTTATCACCCTGTAGGACATTAACCATTTTTATATCTCACCTAACAATTGTACTTTCATACTTTTTAAAGACCCATATAAACCCATTTCCCCAAGTGGTCTTTGAATCGGTTTGTCATCTTACAAAGTTTCTCACTGATGAATACATTGAATAAGTGTTCCACATGTGCAGACCATATTTGTAAAGACATATTTGAGAGTCATTTTTTTAAACTTTTGAATATTATACTTGGACAAGTCTGACAAAAACAGGCAATTTTTTGGCTCAGTGTTTGGAAAGGCTCTTTGAGAGGCAGGTTAGCAAGAGCAGTTAAGACTGAAAATGCACATAACTTGTGTCCATCAGCCATTCCCCTCCTGGGATTCCATTCTAGGAAACATTCCACATTGGCACTAAGAGCACTGGCCAGAAACATTCATCATTGCAGTGTGTGCCACAGAGAGAAACTGGAAATGACTTAAATGTAAACCCAAAGGGGAACAAAGAAATTAGAGACATTTGCATAAGATGGAATATTACAGAGCCATAAAAAATGAATCCATAATAAAAGTATAGTTAGATCTCAGGAACAAAATGACAGTGGAAAAATTGTCAGTGCAAATGACTACATTTGGAAAATACCTGCCAAGCCCACTGAGGCACCTTGTGGTCATCAACCAGTCAAGATAGCAGAGTAGGAGAGTATGAAGAAGGACTTTTGCATTTTCTAGAATGTTCTTTGCTGCACTCCCAGATGTTATGTTTTTGACAGCCTAGGAGTGTGTGGTAACCTCTCAGTGAGCAAGTCTGTTGGTGCTTTTATTCCAACAGCAGGTGCTCACTTTGTCTGTGTCACATTTAATTAAGGTGTGTACGCTGTTTAAGACATAATGTCACTGCATGCTTAATAGACCACAGTGTTGTATAAACAAAGTTTTATATGCACGGGGAAACCAAAGCAGTTGTAGGGCTCTCTTTATTGCATTATTTGCATTACTGTGGTCATCTGGAGCCAGACCTCCAGTATCTCTGAATTCAATGAATGCACACAGCACTGGTGTGATATATAAAGGGGCAAGGTGGTGGGCGTGGCCTGCAAGCACCCGACAGGTGGTTAGCAGCGCTTGACTCTCAGTGGTGGGAATAAATGTCCTTGAGATTTTGTTAGTCTTTTTTTTTTGTTGCTTAAATATTTTCTGACCATGATGATGCAAGTGTCTGTGAGGGAAGGATGAGAACTCTGGACTACTGGCTCTGCCCAGCCGCTAACTCCAGCCTATAAACTCAAACTGCTCACCTGAACTTTCTTTGCCTGGATTTGCCTTTCTGTGAATTAGGAATTTAAAACAAAAATTAGTTAAAGCCCACCATTGCTGTAGGGACTCATGAAATGACTGAAAGTGTGCTGTAAACACCTTTGAGGGCCTATGTTGCATAAATGTTAGCAACGGAGACCCAGGCGGTGGAGTGGTTTCAGGTTGTAAATCAAGCCGATTAGCTGGTTCAGTGCCCGGCTGGGCAGAATAGCTAGTGACAATGGAGAACAAAGCAGCTCTCTGGGTCACCTGCTCGTCTTCTAAGCCAGGTGTAGAATGACACAGGTGCATCCGAGGAGGCGCCCTGGCTGTGGGTAAGAGAGCTGGAAACCAGATACATGGAGCCGATTAATAAGAGTAAATAATGGGAAGAGAAGGCCATGCAATTTGAGGCCTGGGCTTTTGAGGGGATGTCTGGTTTTCTGTTTATTTTCCTTCAGCAGCTGCTTTGTTTTGGCTCCGATTTTTTTTTTAATCATTTCTCCCTGGCCCTCAAAGTTAAGAGAGTGACAGTGTGGAGGGTGGGGTTCATCCCTGGGGGTCACCCTCTCTGCCGCACTCACTCTGCTCTGATATAATAGGAAGCTGCACTGCTGGATTCTGGAAACTAAGATGGAGTCCTTCCCC